TATATGTATATATATATATATATATTATATATATATATATATATATTATAGTATATATATATATGTATATATTTAATATGACATTAAAACAATAATTAAATTAATTATGATCCAAATAGCTAATTAAAACAAAAAAAAAATTATTTAGTGAATTTTATTACGAACATGTAAATAAATTTATTAACGACGCCAATTTCATAATTCATATGTTTTCAATTCTCCAAAAAGCCAACACATTCCAATTCCAAAAATCGCTGTTTTGAATTGAGGACCGCTACCTGAACAGCCAAAATAAGTGCACCGAATTACGGACCGAACGAGATTTTAATGAGTAAAGAAACATTTAATATTAAAATATTATTTTAGATTTAGTTTCTTTTGAGCTGTATTGAAAGGTGTTCCATACGAGTGAAATTAATAGTTATTGTGATTATTTCGATTATTGTGATTATTGAGATTCGTACTTTTAATAATATTTTATACCTGAGTTTAACGATTTCCTTACAGAAGTCTTGTCGTCAATTCGCGCGATTTTTTCAGGTATAAAGGTAAACCCTTAACTTAAAATTTTATTTTGATCCTCAATTCGTGTCTGCACCCAAAAATTGTGTATTATACAAAAATATCAGACAAAGACTTTCTACTATCTACTAATGACTTGTTTCCTGGTAACCGATATTAATCCTTGAAAAATGTAGGTAGATTTGATATTTCAATATAACATTTTATTTACTTAAACTAATCTTAAATAAAATGCTAATTTGAAAAGTAAAACTGCAAACCGTAAATCGAAAAAAGTGTCCTTTCTTCACAAAACAATATAACTTCACCACACAACAAAATTAAACCGTAGATATATAAATATGATATAACTATAACATGATTTTACAACCATTTTTTGGTCTTCTTTTCTCTATTAATTTTTCTTTATATGCATAATTCGGATTAATACATACATATATATAATATATATATATATATATATATATAGATATATATATATATATATATATATATATATATATTGTAAAAACTACGACCGTCAATTTATATTAATAAAGTATTCAACTATAATAGTGAATTCAGAGTTTATTCGGTCATTCAGGTTGGCAAAATAAAACAGAAGTCAACTACTTCATAAGTTTATAGAAGACGTTTCGCTTTATACTTCTAAAGCTTCATCAGTTCTCTAAAATACAAGATGACATAGAGTTTATAAGAAATACAGATCTAATAATTTATTACTTACAACTCATATGTAGTATTAAAGATGTTATTGTATATTATTATGTACTTAAGTTTACTCATAAATTTAGAACTAACTTAAACAAAATTTAACAGAAACAAAGAACACAAAAACTTTGCAAAAAATAATATTCGCAGAAATATTGGTATTATTTATTTCGTAAGATGAGAGAGCGGTAAACCTGGCTCAAATTGTCGTGTCAGTTCTTTTGTTTATTGTAGATGGGTTTTTTAGGATCTCACACATTTCAATAATGGAGCGTTTTTGATGGTTATTTTGTTACAAAATGTGTAAACAAATGACATATATGTATTATATATATATATATATATATATATATATATATATATATATTATATATAATATATATACATATATTATATATATAATATATAATATATATATATATATATTTATATATAATATATATATACATATATTATATATATATATATATATTATATAGATATATATATAATATATATATATATATATATATATGTGAAGATCAACAATAGTTGCATTTGATTCACAAGCTTTTGGAGTACATACAATAAATCAAAAATCCACAAGGAAAATAAATTTTTGAATCTGACTGTATACCATAAATCGCAAATTATAGAACAAATCGTTACAAGCATAATATACCAAATGTTTTTATCACTTTTCTGTTAATCCTCTAATGGGCAAAGTATCTAATAAGATACAATTAGTATTTGTCCGTATATACCGGGTAATGTATCCAGAAAGATACTTATTCAATTTTCTTCAGTACCTGGCAATGTACACCCGAGGATACAAACTAAATTGTCGCTTAACTGGCAATGTGTCTTCCTAGATACTACTTTTCAAAGTGATCCTATCTGTTTGTTTATAGACAAATTGTGAATATTATTTTATACAATTATTTGATGAAGACCCAATTAACTAATAATTATAGTTTGCCAATCCATACAATAACTATTAACACATAAAAAATTAATTTACTTACCGAATGACACAAATTACCACTTTTTTGGAAGTCATTTTGAGCACGTCTACACAAAACACTCTCTAATTGTACCAAAACTCTGTGTATGGCATTCAAATTAATTTTGTTGGTTGCCTAATGCTATAGGGAGAGGGTACTTTTAAAATCTTGCGGCAAACTTAGTTTATTTAGAGGAAGTATAATTTAATAAATAACGTATCCTGGAGTGCACACCGTCAAGTTAAGGTTGTTAAAGAAAGAAATGTGGGTAGTTTTTAAATGCCACGTAATGCTCCGGGGAAACCAAAATTTCAAATAGAATATCATTTTAAAGAAGGACTTCGACGGAAAGTGCATGAATTCTTCTTTAGACAAAATTTCCAACATTGGATAAAGTTCTTGTCTTAGTTCGAGATGATAAGGATTACCCAGAAATGAGTAGAAGTACGTTATGGAAACTTTTAAAAGAAATAGGCTTCCGCTGGAAAAATCCCAGAAAGTCTATTTTATTAGAAAGAAGCGATATTGTCATATGGAGAAAGACATTTTCTAGGAACCATAAAGGAAATGAGAAACCAAAAAAGAAAAATATTTTATCTTGATGAAACATGGATCAACGAGGGTCATACACCAAATAAATTTTGGCAGGATGAAACTGTTACAAGTCAAAGGCACGCTTTTGTAAATAACTTATCTACTGGTTTAAACCCACCATCAGGAAAGGGACGCAGGCTGATAATAGTACACATTGGCAGTTCAGACGGTTTTGTTGAAGGTGGTTTATTAACTTTTGAATCAACTCGTACCGGTGACATGAACATGAACGCTGATGTCTTTTCAAGAATGGTTCGAACAAATGATAGATCTTTCTTCCTAAGAACTGTGTAATAGTAATGGATAATGCAAGTTATCACTCCAGACTTATAGAAAGACTGCCCACAACCAAGTGGTAAAAAAAGACTTGCAGATTGGCTGAGTTCAAAAAATATTACGTACCATCCCGGATCTATAAGAAAGGAACTTTATTCGTTGTGTGCCCTTCATAAAGAAAAATTTAAAAAACACGAAATTGATGAAATTGCCAAAAATCGTGGAATGACAGTACTTAGATCTCCACCATATCATTGTGAATTAAACCCGATTGAACTGGTATAGGGCACAGATAAAGAGTGAAGTTTCAAGAAAAAATACCACTTTTAAAATTCATGATGTTAAACAGTTGTTTTTGGAGGCCGTAAATAATGTAAAACCTGAAAACTGGGAAAAGGCAGTAAATCACACTATTAAAGAAGAGGAAAAAATGTGGAAGCTGGACAATATTACTGATAAAATGATCGAGCCAGTTATTATAAATCTTGGTTCTGAAAGTTCATCTTCTGAATCTGTTTGGATTTGTAACAATAGCTGTAAGTTTTATATTAATATTTTTATTTATCTATTTAACATACCTTAGACGGTTTTAAAAACTCTTTTTCTCTTTTGTAATTTTTAAAAATAAAAAAAAATGTGAATTTTTTAAAAACCCTTTTTAATGTAGGCCAGTCAGTTCTAATATAGTGTGTGATAAAAGAGGTCACTTTTGTTTACATACACATAACACTTTATAACACTGAAATAATTCATTTATTTTTTACAATTATTCAAAGTAATTTTTCAATTAATCTTGAGCACGCCCATGGAGTGGTCGGAGGTACCAGTTAAAATTATGCTAATTACTCTCTCGTTCATAAAAATAAACTATAGAGGATTCCATGCATGGTATTTTAGATTTACAAAGTTTCTATGTGTGCCTTATGATACATAGAACCTTGTGATGGGGACAGCTTCTCTTTCTTAACCCCAATCACTATACTAGGAATTAAAATTTACTTCTTCGATGGAGTGGCTGTATTTCTCGTATGCAGGTTCAGGAAGAATAAATTCTGACTCGAATAATAATGTTTTATTATCGCAACTTGATGAAAGTGACAATAATCCAGCAAACTAAGTGTTTAACATCTCACATTACTGATACCATTGGCAGGTGAATAACTCTGAATTAAAAGTGTACTTACAGTTTCTCAAAACAATACTCACAATACAATCACTGTAACTATGGAATAATAACGGAAAAATGATAAAGCTGATCAATATATTTAAATTGGTCGCCCGGAGAAAATAAAATATGCGACTTGCATTGTCGGAGATCAGTTTCGGAATGGTGGCGTTCTCGCTAGGCTGGCCGTTCCCGCACAGGTCCGTCTCGGAAATATTAAAAGGGATTATTGCACCGCAGTTTGGATATGTTCCGGACACCTTGTTATCGTAAAATTGCTGATTTTTTAATTTTGTTACATACACCCTTGTAATACTCAGGCAGCGATTAGTAAACCTAAATTTAAAACAATCAGTAAAATTAATAGCATCAACTAAATCTTAAGTCTTTTAGTCAGGCTACAAGAAATAATACAAATAAAAATCTGAAACTTGCCAGCCTTTTTCTATTATTTTTTTGAAGATTTTTAAAACATAGAATTTGGATATAGCCTTTTTGGTTTTTGATTTATTGAATGTACTACTATAAGGACAAAGCTACTTTAGGTAGTCAAAGTAAAACAGCAAGAAAAAATTTCTAACTTCCTAATAAAGTTAGATGCAACAATCACTGGTTATATCAACAATCGTGGTTTATCTATTCACTTGCTCGCTATATAGTTTAAGAAATTTCCATCAGTATAGAAAATTTTGAGGTTTATGAATAGCTGATCATACTTAATATTAAAAGTGTTATTTTTTTAAACCTACCTCTGTAATTTTCACTCCGCTGGAACATTCCGCTAGAGGTATCGATCCTTTCGCGATCCAAATTACAAAATAGAGTGATATTCCCATATATAATGGATAGTAAATACTTAGCATGTAGCCAGCCAAAAATTTTACATATCCAATTCCTAAAACATTATCAATAAAATATTAATGTTGTTTTTTTGTATCTCTAATAAACGTTCAGCTTTCCTACATTATTGTATTATAATAAGGTGTATAATTAATATTATTAAGTTATTTGTAACATACAATAGTTATTTGAAAATATAAAACTGATGGTATCTTTATCTGATACAAATTAAGAATTACAAGAAAAAAAAAATTAAATCAATCTCTTTAGTTTTAACATAGTTAATATTCTTAATGATTTTGATTGAACTGGACCAGATTGGACATAAGGCAAATAGAAAAAACTCAACTGTCAAACTCAAAATCCCACGATTGGATTCTCACGAAATCTGGAACTCACGAAAACGACTCAGACAGTGGAAAAAAACTAATGAATATTTGTATCTGGAAAGCTAAACCCATTTTCACAAGGAATCTACGTTCCTGTAGTTGGCTGTTATTGGACCATGTATTAAAAATTTAATTAAAATCCTTTGTAATAGGTATATATTTAAGGCCCAAACGGGCTAAGTTAAAAAGACATAACGTTTTCGGAAACCATGTTCCATCATCAGTGTCTAGGAGTACATGAATGTAGCCACCAAGATTAAATATATGGGTAAAAACCGTTAACAGATGTTTAATACATTTAGTTTTAAAAATACGTTATAATAATTTAAGATTATAGAGTTACGATGGATTAGGTAACATGGCGACATATGACTCCACGTTGAAGTTGCTAGTCCTGAGATGGTATGTCTTCGAGGACTGTATGAGTGCAACTCATGAGTACAGTTCATACAGTCCTCGAAGACATACCGTCTCAGGACTAGCAACTTCAACGTGGAGTCATATGTCGCCATGTTACCTAATCCATCGGTAACTCTATAATCTTAAATTATTATAACGTATTTTTAAAACTAAATGTAATTAAACATCTGTTAACGGGTTTTTACCTATATATTTAATCTTGGTGGCTACATTCATGTACTCCTAGACACTGATGATGGAACATGGTTTCGAAAACGTTATGTCTTTTTAACTTAGCCGTTTGGGCCTTAAATATATACCTATTACAAAGGATTTTTAATTAAAAAAACCCATTTTATTAAAAAAATGAGTGCATTTTTACTAAAGTATCATTAATATTATTACTAAATAAATTAGTGACTTTATTCCTATATACAGTAAGGTCAGAAATTATGAAAGGAGTCATTTTGTACAACAGCTGTCAGTTTTACGAGTATATGTCCCGAACAATGACAAGTATGATTACCAAAATATCAACATCAATAAAAACTAAGCAATATACTTAAGATGCCGGCCGGAAGGAAGTTTCTCCTCAATGAAGAACGGAGGAGAAGACTGTCAGTTTCGAAGATCATGTCTATCGCGAAATGTAAACCAGCATATCTATGTTTTATAGACCTGACAAAGGCTTTCGATCGCATCCAAGTCGAAGACGTCTTACATCTACTGTATAAAACAAACATACCAATCAATATTATACAAACCATCGAAAACATCTACTTTCATAATCGAATACAGGCAAAGATAAATGGAAAAATAACACAGTGTATACCAGTACAAAGAGGAGTCAGTGTGACTCGTTAAGCCCACTTCTCTTTAATATAATAATGGACGAAATAATACAAGCAGTACGTAAATGTCATGGTTACAGAAGGGGGAAGAAAGAAATCCAAATATTATGTTATGCAGACGACGCTGCATTAATCGCCGAAACAGAAGACGAGCTCCAAAGATTAACACACATCTTCAATATAACAGCCAAGAAATACAAAATAATAATATCAGCAGAAAAACCAAATCTATGACAACATCTAAATACCCACTACGGAAATGTTGAAGAAGAAGTACGACAACAAAGCTTAAAAGCAAGTAAATCGAAACAAGAATCTATAAAGCAGCAATTAGACCTATAATAACATACACGACGGAGACAAGATCTCACACATCTAAAACGAGTACGATTACTACAAAACGACAAAGATGAAAATATTAGAATTTGTTGTTTCCCAGTGAGGTAATACAGAGATAGCAGTGAATTATTTGATTACTTTATTTTACAAAAGTACTAAAAACTAAACATGTGCTACATTCTACAAAATATATTTTACAACTGACATATGACAACCGGAATCACTTAAGACATTGTGAGCCAGTGTTGCCAAGTACAAAATTCCAATACTCCTCCTCGATTTGAAATGTTGGAACATGAAAATCGTAACTATTATAATTAACAAAATGATATTACAATTCATATAACATAAATTTTATTTCTTAGATTTATGAAAGTCTCGGTACCTAAAGATTTAGTTAAAATATCAGCTAAATTTTGCTCAGTTGATATATAATCCATTACAACTTCTTTCTTAGAAATTAAGTCTTTTAAAAAATGATTTTTTATATCTATATGTTTTGCTCTTTTCGAATTTTCATTACTGTTAGACATTAAAATTGTACTTTTATTGTCACAGTATAAAATTGTTTTGACAGTTACATTAAAATTTCCCAGTATACCCTTGACATTGATTAAGTCTTGAGCGGTTTGTGCTGCTGCAATGTATTCAGCTTCAGCTGTTGATAATGCCACACAGTTTTGTTTCTTTGAAAACCATGATATTGGGTTATTACCATATAATAATATACATCCACTCACACTTTTCCTATCTTTCTTATCTGTTGCCCAATCGGCATCTGAATATCCATTGAGTGTTATCTGGCAATCTGTATTTTTATAATAAGTTAATCCCAGTTTCTTACTTCCTTGTAGATATCTTAAAATTCTTTTTCCAGCATTCCATGTCTCTGTAGTAGGACAATCTAAAAATCTACTCAAGTATGACACTGCATAACTAATGTCTGGCCTACTTGTTGTTGATAAATACATCAGTCCTCCAATTAATTGCCTGTAAGGAATATTAGTTAGAATTTCACTGTCCTCAATGTATTGAAATCCCTTTTCCATTGGAGTCTTCTTTGGTTTACATTCCTTCATATTAAAATGATCCAAAAGTTTTTCTATAAATCTTTCTTGATCAATTTTAATAGTATCTTCTGTCCTAGTAATATTCATACCTAAAAAATTTTTAACTTCCTTTAAATCTTTTGCCTGAAAATTATCTTGTAATAATTTTATAATACATTGAACATCATTATCTTCTCCTATTAATAATATATCATCTACATATATTAATATCCAAACCTTTTTGTTATTGTATAAACAACAATCATACATAGATCTTTCAAAATTATTTTGACTAACAAATTCATTGAATGTATTATTCCATACCTTTGATGATTCTTTTAAGCCGTATAAAGCTCTATTCAATTTTAATACTCTTGAGTTTTTTATCGTAAGTCCTTCTGGTGCATAAATATAGACATCATTCTCAAGTAATCCATTTAAAAATGCAGTTGGAATATCCATTTGTCTGATTTTCCAATCATTTTGTAATGCTATTGATAAAAATAGTTTAATTGTTGATGTTCTTGCTACTGGTGAGTAATTTGGTTCAAATTCACTCTCCTCCTTAATTTGAAAACCTTTGGCTACTATTCTGGCTTTTTTAGTTCCATCATCCTTTGTTCTAAAAACCCATTTTGTTTGAATAGCTTTTTTATGTTTAGGTAATTCTACTTCTGTCCATGTACTTAGCTTTTCATGTGAAAGTAGCTCTTTTCTTATGGATTCTACCCATTCAGGATCTTTTATGGCATCTTCATAGCATAAAGGATCATTTTCTTCTGCTGATATTAAACAATAAGCTGTATAAGTCTCATATTCACTTAAATATTTGGGTGCTTTTATTTTTCTTCCTGTTTTTGTTGTTTCTATCTTTGGCATGCATTCTTCATAATTTTCTGAACTTATATTCTCTGTTTCATCTTCATTAGCTTCATTTAAATCATCATCTTGAATTTCTATTTCTATATCATTTATTCCCCCTTGCAGTTCATTTTCATACTGTACTTCTATTGTTTTCTTATTTGTATCATCCATCATATTGGTCTTAGTGATTTCATCATAATTAGTTAAAGTTTCATCAAATCTCACATCTCTTGAACAAAAAATTTCATTAGTTTCATAATTCCACAATCTATATCCAGCTCCTGTATATCCTATCATTATGCAAGGTTGTGCCCTTCTTTCTAATTTGCTTTGTTTTGGTAAGACTATTGCCCATGCCTTACTTCCAAATACTTTCATTTTTGATAAATCATTTTTATGGTACCATCTTGTGGCAGGTGTTTCTCCGTTATTTGCTTTAGTAGGTGTTCTATTTAATTCATATGCTGAGCACAGAATTGCTTCCCCCCATAACTCTCTTGGTAGATTAGTTTCAGCAAATTTGGTTCTTACTTTGTCTAATAAGCTTCTGTTCATTCTCTCTGAAATCCCATTTTCTTGTGGAGTATATGGCATTGTATATTCCACTTTAATACCTTTATTTTTACAAAAATCTCTAAATGCATTAGATGTAAATTCACCACCATTATCAACTCTAATTCTTTGCGTTTTTAGATTATGCTGAGTTTTAATTAACTTAATAAACTGAATAATATTTTGATCAGCTTCATGTTTATTTTTTAATAATCTTACTACTAAAAAATGTGAGTAATCATCTATTAATACTTGAAAGTATTTATAACCTTCAGATGTTGGTGTAGATATTGGACCTGAAATATCTGAGTGTATCAACTGACCAATTTTTGTTGTGTATTTAAAACATTTATAAAATGGTTTACGAGTACTTTTACCTTCCATACAATCTTTACAAATTTCTGAACTATAAGGTAGTCCTAATATTTTTAAATTGTGCCTATTTATGTGTCCTAATCTCCTATGCCATAAATTATCATCTATAGTCTCATTTACATAACTTACTATATGGTTTGTCTCATTACAATAATTATTTTTATTATTAACAAAATCTACCTTTAAACAAAATAAATTATTCAACATTTCACATTGAAATTTTGATCCATTTTTATT